TAGCTCGTCATGGAAATCGGATAGAAATCGGTTTCTCGCGCTCCATGGTCAATCATAGAAACCCAGAATCGCTCAAGTCGCGCGACTGAATCGCAGGTATCGCCTATCATACCTCTTCCCACACATGCCCTCTCTCAGCATTGTTGATGTAGTGAACTTCATCGAACACCACCCATTCCAGGTCGCGAATAACCTCAGAACCATTGTAGAGCATAGATCTGTACAAAATCCATGGATACCAGTTCATCTTTGGACAGTACAACAGAATAAGATAGGATGAAAGATAAAATGAGCATTTGGCTCTGATGAATCTTTTTGGGATGCGACACGCACTCCACATATATTCAGAATCGCTCGTACATTAGGAAGCGACCTGGTCTTTACGGTAACTTGCGAGGGCTAGTGGACATGAACTCTGGCATGGAAAGGAAAAAGAGAAACGTATTGAGTCCTGTCCCTCAATTACCTCAAAATTTCCGTGGTCATTATGAGACAGAAGGCTTCAGGGAACAATTGGATATCACCAGTAACGAGACCGACATCGGTGAACATCATCTTGAAATCTCGAAATTTCTGATTTGATAGTGCCTTTATCGGCGAGGTGTAAATGGCCCTAAAATGAGAGTCAACAATTATACAAAGGAGAGAATTAGAGAATTCAGTTTTTGGGTGGTCATTAGTAAGTTCAGAACCTCGAGGAGAATAGTAAACTATCAGGTGTTCTTCCAAATTTCAAAAAGGAATCCCTTTTAATCAAGACCTGATTTTACAGTAGCGCTACCTTGACCTAACTGTGCTTCACTCTGAGCCCATCGATTCTTATTAGTTAAGTAACCCGAGAAAATACAATTCGATTTGCAGAAGAAACACTAACCGAGTCTTGTGGTGTTCGCACAAAGCCACTGCATACTCAGCCACTACCGTTTTACCAGCTGAAGTATGAGCGGCAACAAAAACTGATTCTCCTTTCTCCATGCAAACAACTGCAGCCTGCTGGAACGCATCCAGCTCGAAGGGATACTAAAGTACCAATTTAAGTGAAAGTCTCCAAGATACAGTCTTGTTCACTGCGGATTCCGAAGCGTGTCAGGGGGTTTGCTGAGTTGCCCATTCATGCCGTTCTCTACCATTTGTTGTATCTAGCAAACGACCATGACTGGTGGAAGCGGTCTGGTGCTGCGCTAAACCCAGCCACCCTGCCGCTATGAAATGCCTCAGCAGCACAGCAAACAAGACTATATGTACATCGATGCGACCGCAAAGAAAGAACTTTGTACTCAGTCGCTTCGAAAGGAACGAGAGGAAGAAAAAAGCATTATATTAGAGAGAGAACGGCTAATATACCTTTTTAGCCATATTCTGCTTCAAAGACTTGTACTCCGCATGGCACGATTCAGGATCGAGCTGTTTCGCATAAGCATAACGTTCAGGAGGTGAAAATATTACAGCTCGTTTCGGCAATTCCTTCTCGAGAGCTGCCTTCAAAATAGAGAAGTATCATAAATAACCCCTTATTCTGCCCATTGAAAAAAGCTACGTTGGGAGGTTCTACTTTGAATTAACTCTGCGCACTGAACACAGACCATGCCTAAAACCACTCAAACACCCCCTAAAAAGGACAACAAGGAGGGTGAAACAATAGGCCTCAACGTGTGAAGACGAATATCCCACACCTTTGATACACCTGATAAGATGTTGGGCCATGTCTTGGCGGGTATGTGACAAGAGAATCGTACTTCGCCGCGCTGGTGGGCGTCGCGTGCGACGTCGCGCCCTTGAAATGGCGATGGTTCCATGTAGGACGTGGCGCAACAGGCAATTCAGAACCGAAAATAGTCATGTCTACGATGACGGGGTCTACATGAAGTCCGGTGCTCCAATCGACAGGTTAACACGAGTTAAGAAAACGCCGCGCCCATCGCCGCGCGCGGCGGAGCGGCAAATTACGATTCTCTTGCCCTTCCCCACTTCTTGACTATGGTGTAACAGTCGTGCTCCTACGACGCGGTTTTTGAAAGGCAGCTCCCGCGCTCAAGCAG